CCAGATAATACTAAAGGAGTATTGAATTGGCCTAAGTGGCATTGTAAAATATCAGGTGGAACTTTTCGATCGATTATCGAATTCATCTCCAAAATAAAATGCTAACGGTAAGTCCGTCGAGACTTAGAATTTTCAATAGAAAAATTTTGAACATGTGCTCAGTTCCGTTAGAAAAATGTTTGAATTTGAAGAGGCTAGAACCAATTATCCAAATCAAAATTCGATTTTGTAGATAATATAACTCTTGTAGATATTAAATAAAATATCACGCGTATATTAAAATTGTTCTTTTATGGAAATAAATATATTTTAAAGAATCTCAGAATTAGTTTTCTTATTTTAGTTTAAATATATGAATCGCTTTTATCTCAAAATTTGTTGTAATAGATATTCTTTTGAGAATCTCTTTCGATAATCGAAATAATATATCGTTATACATTTTAATCGAATGTTTTTAATATATGTCTCTAGATGGCGAGCCAGCAACTCGAAATGATTTTCCTCATATTTGTTGAATCTCTTACAGCTGTATAAAAAATAACACAGATCATTCTATTACAGTTCTAAAACCTAAATAAACTTCGTATATATATTATTATGATTTTCGATAGTATATAATTAAACTAAGGTCATTAAATACATTTAAAAATATTTATATTTGTTTAAAATAAAACGAAAAATTTCTAAATTAAAAAAGAAAATAGCAAAAAAATTTAGCCCATCTGGAGAAGGTATGGTTTAGCAATGTACAAAAGTTTTGAAGGGGAAAAAAAAATTTTAAATATCAAAATTTGAAAATTTAAGAAAAAACGAAATTTCTTATAGAATTAAACTTTAAATATCTTTTTTATATTTTTTTTTCAAAAGCTACATTTAAAAACAAAAAGTTTTTAAAAAAATTGTTCCAATAAGTCTATTTTTGACAAATTTATAGCTATTTGAACCAAAAATTGAACAAAAATTATGAATTTTTGAAAAATTCATAACTTTTTTTGGGTTGGGCAAAAAAAATTGGAAAAAATTCTCAAAAAGATTTTTAATGAAGTAAAAAATGATTTAAAAGTTTCAGCAAAATCGAAAGGGATCGGGGTCAAAAGTGGTTGATTTGACGTCGAATACCCCATATATAATATATTTACAGGGTATTCAAAGAAAAGCATTCAATATTTATATGGTAGATAGGTCACACTATGCTGAGTAAAAAAGTTCTAGTAAACATAGGTCGAAAGGTCAACCGTTTCCGAGATATAAACGTTTTTATTTGCTATTATCATGATTGACTTCCTACCGAATTGCTGTTATTTACAGAAGATTTTCTACGTGTCCACCATCCATTTTTACACACGCTTGGCATCTTCTTCTTAAAGAGTCGCGAATTCTTTCGAAAATTCCCCATTTTTGTCGAATTACTTGACAAGTATGATGGATTCGGTTACATAATTCTTCTACGTTGTTTATTGGCGAGGAATACACTTGGCTTTTTAAATAACCCCATAAAAAAAGTCCAAAGGATTTAAATCGGGGGATCGAGGAGGCCATGCAACTGGTCCACCATGTCCAATCCATCTTTGACCGAACACCGTGTTTAAATGCTCTCTTACATTACGTAAAAAATGAGGTGGTGCTCCATCATGCATGTACCACGTCGATAGCAAGACTTAAATGAGCCGGATTCACAAATTCGTTGGTGAAGTTTGTGAAAGAGTGTATGAGAGGGAACCCTTCGATTAGGAAATTTTTCCGCGTAAAGATGTTTTGCCGCTAAAGCACTTCCATTGGCACGACCATACATAAAATGCATGTCTGCCATTTCTTCGGTTGAATAATATGCCGACATTTTAATGAAACTTCGTAACTATCTAACAGCTACAATTGCAAATCCACGACTAACCTCAGAACGCGATTTATAAACACTGAAGTAAATAACGCATGCAATGGAAGCAAGTAAGTCAATCATGATACTAGCAAACAAAAATGTTTATATCTCAGAAACGGTTCATCTTTCGACCTATGTTTACTAGAACTTTTTTACTCAACACAGTGTGCCCCATCTATCATATAAATATTGAATGCTTTTTTTTGAACACCCTATATACACACTTGATAGGTGAAAAAGAGTGTATCTAACAGTGGATTTCGAAGAGAACATACGTCAAACTTAAACTATATTTTTCAAATGATATTTAAAAAAAAAAAAAACACTAATATATAAATCATATTTATTTACGTTATGAGTTATCAGCCATTTATCTTTACAACGGTGTGTTTCAGTAATGCGAAAACATGCTTTCGATTTGAATATTAGGGTTTGAAGTGGGCCGAATCCCGTGCACAAAAACTAATTCTACTAACTTACAATTAAAGACGATCGAAATACTATTGTGTTTCCTATGTATATATATACTTTATTTCTTTTCAATGAATTTTATTTACTTTTTCTTTTTCTTTTTCTTTTTTCTTTTTTTTTTTTTTTTTGAAATTCATTCCTGAATTCGTCGCACGACTATCGGACCGTCGTATTTGTTTAAGGAATGCTTAAGAATATCACAGATTGCGATTCTTGCGTCAAAGCTCCAAAAAGTCGCAAAGACACGGTTATTTGAAGATAATAATACGCGCTTCGCTTATTCTTCATGTCTATGATAATTTAAATATATGGCAGAAAAAGAATTAAAGAAATATTTTGCTCATTCTCGAAAGAGTCATGTTCTCTTACCAACCAGAATTTAAACGAATCTCCTCATTGTGTTAGCAATCGTAGAATTCAACGTTTCCCAAACTGACAGAAACAAAAAATACCGATTCTCAAAAAATATTCATTAATCAATACATAACCTTTTCAGTTGTACGTCACAAAAAATGAGAGTTTTTCGGATAAAAAATACTTAAAATTATTTTGTTTAATTTGAGTTTCCTTATTTTAAAGTTAAATTTGGGAAACGTTGGCACAATCAAACAAATCAAGAAGAAGATTTTGTGAAAAAAGCAAGAACAATTTTACAAAAGCAATGATTCAAATCAATTAATTATCCATGAACGTAGAGGTACACTATCTTTCATAGAATCGATTAAGTATTTTAACAATATGGCGTGTAGAATATCTTATCATTGAATTCTATTCTTTGCTTTGATAAAGTACACATTTTTTATTTATTTTGATTTATCTATGCACCCAAAGTATTCAAGAAATATTGTTGTTACGAAGTCTAACATTGCATTTTTTCTTAGCATATACTCATGTATGTATATAAAGTACGATAGTGTATTTTTATGTATTTTTTGAGATACATAGGTTTAAGAAAAATGTTAATTGTTCTATTAATTATTGCTAGATACGTGTAAATAAGCAAGTAGAAAATATAATAGATAGAAAATGAATGATACGTGTATTATAATGGAAAATACTTTCGATCATCTGTATTAGAGATTCTCTTTGAAAAAGTCTTATTTGTTACTTTTCAAAGATTCAAACAATTTTAGGCATTCCAAACTCGTAGATTATAGTTGAATCAATATTTTAACATTAAATCATTTTCATGCTTATCATCTTCTTTGAAATTTCACAACTATTTAACCAGTTAAGTGTGGCGATGTGTGCGCAGAGTAGTGCGCTCCGCTGTCTGTCGCGATAATTAAGCGATGACGGATATAGTCGTCAAACACAGAGTAAGTGGCGCTGTTAAAATATTGGATAGTCAAAAAGACGACTTTATTTTAGAAAATGAACAATTTTGTTAGTAATGTACACAAAGTTTCTTAATATGAACATATATTTATACATAATAAACGGAAAAATTAGAGGAAAAATCGAATATTTATAGAAGTTAAAAATTTATTCTTGACTTTTTTTTTTGACCTCTAAACATTTTAAAAATATTAAAATTTACGAATATAATTTAGTTTTCGCTAAAATTACAATTTAAACATCAAAGTGTAACAAACTTTTACGCATGACGGATATAGACGTTATAACACAAAATTTTGCCACATCTCCATGACGGATATAGTCGTCAAACACGCTTAACTGGTTAATGATTATTTAAGATTGTGCACCTCTAGGTTTATTATTATGATACATTATAATACGTGTATAATGTTTTTTTTTTAGCAACAATAAACATACAAACCAAGAACTGGATATTTTATAATAATGCTTTACATAGTAAATATTATTTACAATTAATCGTGAACTAATGAAAACGAAGACAATCGGTGCTGAAAAAGAAATAAATTATTTGTTATCTTATAATATCATGCCAGACAGATCTAATTTCTTCAATCTATGATTAAACATGAAATAATTATATTCAAAGATAACTTGTCAACGGCTTTAACGATTTACGATCACTTTTAAAACCGCTCAACAATTAATTTATAGCAATTGCTTTACTTTTGCGCAACCAAAAATTCTTGGCTTTTAATGTGTCAGTGTTGTTCAAACTACTTACATACATAAGTATAAAATAAAATTTTAATTAAGTATAGTTTTAATGAAAATATAAACTTTTTAGACTCTAAAAACAATCAAAGATTACTACATTTATTATGTTTCAAAAACATAATATTTTGAAGAGTAAACTTTCTTGTATATAATTTGTATATATTATTTATCATATATATATATTGAATATATTTATGTAAAATATACTTCTTACAGAGCATAGTTATAAGAGACAAAGTTTGAAAAACATTGTTTTACGCAACTATTTTCTCAATTATACAAATATAGCTTAGAATATGCTCTAATAGAATTTGTCGATGGCTAAGTAGAAACATCATTCTTACGTGCCTACAAAACTGCAATCTGAAAGAACAAAATTAGCTTCTAATTTCCTCATTTTTTCTTGCGCGTTAACAATACACACTCACACATAACACTCACACATACACATACATACTGTTCTTTTTGTACATATATATTTCTATTTTCCTTTCTTTTCTCTCCCTCTTTCTCTCTCTCTCTCTCTCTCTCTCTCTCTCTCCCTCTTTCTGTTCCTTTTTTTAATTTCATATCTCTTTTATCATCAAATAATTTTATTGCTTTCACTATTAGGCTAGAATTACATAGGTGTTTCAACACATTGCATTTTACACGTCGCTTTTTTCCCATCGAAGTGGGATCTTAATTGAATAAATGTTTAATGGGTTTTTCACACCCTGTATTCAATAGTTGTAATTTCAAATATTTTTCTTTTTAAGTTTCTCGCCAAAATATAAAAGGTGTTGAAAAAGTTGCTTTTAAGAATCAATATTGGTTCATTATAATAGAATTAGGGCATTTAGTTTTCTTTTTATTAGAATATTATTAAACAAGTATAGGCCTATGATTTTGCTGTGTTATCAAATCGATATTAAACATTAAGTTATATTCAACGTTACCAGATTGAGAAAGAAAGAAAAAATTGGATACTATTCGGAGGAAGTAGTCAGTTAGATTAGAAACGTGACGATTTATCATAAAACCTCATAAAATCCCATGTCACTAGTGACGTAGCATAGAGTGGCAGTGAAGGATAATGTGACATCTTGTTATCCCTAGCGATGGATTTCTCACGGTAACACTGATCACATCGCAAGCATGTCCTTCTTTTTTCCAAGTATATGTGATAAATGACATTTCGGTGGAAAAAATGTGACGTGTAACGTGCATTGTATCAAACGCTCTAGTATGCGATCGTAGCCTCATATAACTTAAAATCCTAAAGCGCCGTAAATGGAGAGATAACATCGATGGCATTTTAAACATCCTTAATACGACACAACGTAACGCCATTTGTAATTTACTAAACAAGCATATTGATTCTCATTGTCTCGATCGTACCACGATCTTGAGAATTTCGCCAATGATGATGTCTCCTAATAGAATTATTACGCTGAAATAATTGAAGATATGTAGAAGTCGTTTTAAATAATTATCAACGAATTATGTATGTATTGGATTGCCCGGAAAGTTCATGCCGATTTTAACGAAAGATTGAAACGCAACGCATTAGTTTTTTTTTTTGGTATATATTTATTAAATAATATATAAATGCCATTTTCTGTTCCACAACCTTTCTCCATCTTTAAGGGTAACTTTAAAATATCATCCTTCCAGAATTTCTCAGGTTTTTTAGCAAAAGAACTTTATGCCACCTACCAAAAATCGGCACGAACTTTTCAGACAACCCGATAATATTAAAGTAGAAACAATACTCACCCGAATCGATGGATTTCGACGCAAGAACACATTTCGACGATTCTCAAGAGTCTATAGAAAAAAAAGACAAACTACGTTTTGCCGAAAAAGCTTCTTCCTTTAAAAGCTTTTGTTTTCTTTTTTTTCTTGCGTTTCTTTTCCTTTTTATATTTTTTTATTATTTTTTTTTATTTTTTTTTTTATTTGTTATACCAAATGACGTGGTCTCTTGAAAAAAGGCGTGCTTCGTTGAGCCGAGTCCATACCACTGACGTAATCTCATAATTATCATGGCGTCCATAATTATCATTATCACCTTGCCCAATTGTCACCACGTGGTGCACTTACTCACCGGATTCATTTTAGCTCCGATCGGACAGCGAAATGCTTCCGCAAACGCATGTGAATTCATCATTATACCGTTTACCCTGAAAGTAATTATTTAATTAATGCAAGTTATATGATTAACCGTTGATTGACCCGAACATTGAGAAGAGCTAATTGAAATCTGACTAATTGAAAGTATGATATGTACTACTCGTATAACATGATATGATCTAACATTGTAGAATGTTCATTATGTTCATATTGAAATAAAAGTAAAAATAAAAAAAGAAATATAAAATACCTTTCGGGTTGAGGAGTATGAAAATCAAGTTCAACGGAGAGGATATAGGCCTCGGCAGTCATGTTAGAACAATAAGTCTGTACAAATATGATTAATTAAAGTTTGAAGCCTTTAATTTGTAATTAGTATGAGTTAACAAACCTGGGCGGCGCTTATGAAAAAAAGTTGGCTAGGTCGAAGACCTTCCAAACCAGGAAGGCTTCGATCTTTTCCGTTGGTTAAAGTATGCCAAGTTTTATGAGAAATTTGCAAGGCCCCAATATCGGCAACATTTTCATTCCTCGTTACATTCCAATCGAACTAAAAAGCAAGAAAACAAAGGATAATAGTATATATTTATTTAGCGAATGTAGAGCTTTTGTTCGTGTATTTTTATTGAAAATAAAGAAAAATGTATAAAATCGATACCTGAACAGCAACGTCATTTCCATAAAACTGAACTTTACGCCAAAAACTTCTAGCATAAAGCTTAGCGACACACTCGATCCTAGCCTCGAGTCGTTTCCAAGATTCCGTAGTGATCCATAGCCATTGATCGACGTTTAGATCAGGATCGAGAGGCAAGCGACGACGATGGAGATCGAAGGCATGAAGTATTTCATGGGCTATTACCGATCCAAGAGTAGCATGAGCAGCATAAGCTGGTCCACCATCCCAAGACCATGCCCAGGAAGTCATCATGGCCAAAGGAATTCCTAGGATAAACAAAATAATATATATTGAAATTTTATATTAAATCCTTTTCCATAATATTAGGTGTTGGAATTATTTCTTAGCGTTTTTTGAACAACTTATACAAATTATTTTAAATGAAAATAAAAAAATATATTATTCAAAATACTGTCCATCTCTTACTGTTACTTTTTCCCATTTTTCGGGTAGGAAATAGAACGCTTCGTCCTTGGAGGTAATCTATAAATCGATCTTTTTTTTACAATCTTCATAAGAAGTAAAATACTTCCCTGACAAACCATAAACCATTGACAGGAACAGGTGATAATCTGAAAGGGCAATATCTGGAGAATACAGTGGTTGTGTTAAGAATTCCCATTTCAGTATTTGTTGATATGTTTTCAGTGGTTTTGCGACGTGCGGTCGAGCATTGTCGTGTAGCAAAATAACTTTATTGTGCCTTTCGCTCCATTCTGGCCATTTTTCTTTCAATGCACGTCTCAAATGCATCAGTTGTAATCGGTAACGATCCCCAGTGATAGTTTTATTTGGTTTTAATAGTTTATAATAAATCAAATCCTGTTAATCCCACTAAATACAAAGAAAGAGCTTGGCCCCTGAATGTTACGTTTTACCACTTTTAAAACGTGCAAACCACTTTCAACAAGTTTGCTTAGTTAAAGTATGGTCACCATAAAAATCCGATGACTTTCTGCAGCACTTTTATCCATATTAAAATAATGAAATAAAAATCCCCGAAAAATATTTTATTTGGCATAAAAAAATTGCGATACATTTAAATAATTACAACTTGTTATCAACAATTAAAAATGAGATGTGTCGTAAAAAAACACCTAATAAGTGCTGAATTATTAAATAAGTGCTAAATTTATTTCTGAAGGTAAAAACAGAATAGTGTAATATCTACGTCATTTTTCGTAAAACGCTACGAATTAATTCCAACACCTAATACAATTTTTTTAATATATTCCGAGTTGATTCAAATATGATGACATTTTATAAAAAATTATTTATTAAGAGACGTACCGATCGTATTCGTCGATGATTCGTAATAAGCATTCACTGTATAAGGATGACGACATCTGTGAACATTGGATATTAATGTTTAATTTTTGCTTTTATTTAGACATAAGTTTAATTTATATTTCAATGTATAGAATATAAGAAAAAAGATACCCTTAACCTCTTAGGCACTGATGAATGTTGCGGGGGCTCTTTCTCTGTATGGCAAGGTTTAACGAGAATTACGTGTAAATGATAACAATTACGATGTGTGACGAATAATGACTGTTCTGTACACAAGTACATTTTAACGAAATTTTTCATGATTAAATTATAATTTTTCTCAAAGAAATGATACACATATACTTTAACCCTTTTCACTCCGCTGTCTCACCGTATAAGACATCGTGATTCTAGCCTATCACTTCGATGTCTCAACGTATGAGACATTAAAGTTTATTAGTGATTACGAGAAATTAAGTTATTTCAGCACAACTTTTTGAGACATGCATGTTTCCCTCATGTTTTTTCTTAAAATAGCACAAGACATCGAATCAAAATATAGTGAAATAACAAAGATATATAAAAAAAAATGTCAGCGTGTTTTGTGTTCTAAGAGAATGCGAGACGCGTGCTTACGACGGTCCGAGAACTTTTTGGCGAAACTTGAGATGAGCGACAAAAAGAATTTGTAGAAGAAATGTTTTTATAAGAATATATCTCGCATTTTATAGTGAGATTTATAATGTACAAAGAAATATTATCAAATAGTATCACATTTCAAATACAATGAAACGCGCTCGCTTTTTTCAATTGCAACGCTATTACACATATACATTCTCTTGGTAAATAAGTTCTTTTGGTAACATTTCTTTAGGTAAATATGTTCCTTGATGTCTACAGATTAATATAAGTCCAATATCATTAGAATCCGTTATTTGGTTCCAAAGTTATACTAAATAATACGAGGGTTTGTAAATGTGCCGTTTCTGCTGCGAAGTCGCGCAGAGTTGCTGCTACCCAGCGTCGAAAGTCGTGCAGAGTGCAAAGGGTTAAAATAATAAATTTCATTAAAAGAGAAGAAAAGCGAGAAAGAAAGTTACTAATAATATTAATGGTATATGATTAGCACCATACATTTGAATAAATGTATAAATGAAATCTATAAATCTATAAAAGAATTCTAAAAACAGGAATTTTATAATTAATTAATAAATACTTTAATTATAATTTATTAGATAAAACGGATGTTATATCGTAACGATAGATATAATTAATGGAATATACTGAGGTAAATCTTATAGTCATTCTCTAGAGGATAACTCGATTATGTTAAAACATCATCGAGTTAACTGCATACACACGTCATTGTCGAGTTTCTATTGTAGATCTAATGGATCATAAGTCCTATACGAGTATGCATTATTTCCATTACGGTTGACATGCATATCAACACAGTAGAATTTTTTCTTGTCCTTTCAAAAAGGACATCAATTCGCTCTATTTAACTTATCCACTCGAAACTTTCAACTTTTATATTCGATTTTATGCAAATTCTTGTTATTTCATTTGTGTTTGTTTGTTTTAGGCGTTGACTACATGCATCCAGATCTGAAGTATAATTATGTAAGTAAACTCATTCGTTGCATGCTTTTATTCTTTGCCAATATTTTTCTAGCTTTTTTTCGCAGAAAATTAATTTCTTTTTTTTCTTTTACTTTATCTAACAAAATGTAAACTATGTTTAAATATTAATATTATGCAGATATTTTACATTTACTTTTGTATTTAAGTTTTTAATAAAAGATTTGTAAAAATTATATTTTTTACTTTTCATCTCATTAACATTTTAAATATACATTAAATTTATTTATTGAACATAAATTATAATAAATAATTTATTTGATTTAAAAGTATCGTTATTATTTTTATGGAAAATATTATTAAATCCAACGATAAACTACGGTGTAATTTTTCAGTCGTATTTCATCGAGTTAAGGCACCTTAAAGATTAACAATGTTTGCCAAAACACATAGCACAGTATTAGCTACTAATAACTGTAACTGTAACTATAACTGTAACTGTAAATGTAATTGTACTTGTGCCATGTGGCCATAACTGTAACTGTGCTGCTACTACGCGATGCCGTATATTTTGACAAACATTGTTAATCTTTAGGGCGCTTTAGCTCGATGAAATATTGATAAAAATTTAAACTCTAGGTATTCGTGGATTTTTTATTGATATTTCTACAATTTTTATTGAAGTTTAAACATTGATTTTCGTTTGAAAAAGATACAATCGAAAACTTGATTTTCAAAATTGTAATATTATTAAATTATTAATAAATAAAAATAATCTTACCTTGCGGAAAAGTTTTTTCGTAAAACCTTGTTATCTACGTTACGAATTTGTTTGAACCTATGAAGTACCGTAGAGAAAAAATTATCAGGATCGATCACAACCTAAAGTAGAAAAAAATAAAAAAAAAAATAAATGAAAAACGAACAAGAAGGTAATTAAATATCATTCGAAGTTGAATTAAAAAGAATTCTTGATAAATAATGTTATCCTTACGTCAGCCATATCACGAGCCAATAATGTATCGTTATGAAAACCAGGCCACACGTGAAATCTTCCTTGCAATGTTCTAAGCTTAAGCAATGCTTGCGTTCTCGTTTCTTCATCGAGCCAAGGCTTAACTAAAATTCGTTCTGCGACAGTTTCCTTAACTCTTTCAAATAATCCACCAACCTATCAAATCCATAAAATGAATTTACTAGAATTTATATAAAAAATTGCTGCCCCGTTATTTTGACTTCCCCCATTATGTGCTTATGTGAAGTAGAAAAAGAGGATGAGAATTGATCTTACTCTATTCGCTAAAGTCTCCAAATATTTTAAACTGTATTGTTGAACGTATAGAGCCCCAACAATCTCTCCAAAAATGTTCTTTGTCAACTTGTAGCAGGAATTATCCCAATCCTTACTGGCAGTCACGTTGACGATATCGTGCAAGGTATCAGCAGCGTAAAGCAGCAACAATCCATTATGTATAATCCTTCAAAATCAAAATAATACATAATTCGAAATGGTGACTGATGAAAACAAGATTGCATATTAACAATACTGTATATTTATGAAAAGTGTGTATATTATAACAGCAAAATCATGATGAATAATTTGAAAAGAGAGTGAATCTTGTGCATTTATAATGTTCATTAGGCATTAAAGACGTGTAACATTGTCAGTAACGATATTTCATCGAAAGGGGATAATAACTTGGACGTCGCAGTAGTGCACAGCTGGGCAGGAAAGCGCGAATGAATTAGTACCATCGATTTTTCCCTTTACTGCGGCATAATTCTTGCGAACGCATACGACGTGTTTGGAGAAGAGATTTAGTTACGTGATACAAGTTTGATCTCAAGAGACCTACCTATATGTCTCAAACAGATCGCAAAAAATTCACATTTTATTTAATTAATACATTCATAATATATAGAACTTTTAATTAATTTTATTTTCCGAGCGCTATTATTTTTTATATTTATTTTAATATTTCTAACATTAATTTTTCATTAATATTAATTATATTTTTTTACAAAAGTTATCGGAAGTTTAATCCGTAATTCCTAAAGTTTTAATATTTATGTTTTTTTTTCTCATCATATACTAATTGTATATTAATTTATCGGACATTAGAAAGATTAATTGATTAGTTATTTTATTATAAGTGACACATTGCAATATTACTTGTAATGAAATTATACTTGCAGTATTTATATATATATAATGTTTATTTAACTATATATACACATATACATATACGCATTTTAGAGAACATAGAGAGAGAAAATGAGCTTGATTATGACAGTTTGTAACACTGTTAACCTTGTTAGCATATCCACACTTTGTGGAATGCATACTCGAGTGATTATCGTGCTAGCAGTTACATTTGGCTCACGTTCCAAAGTGTCGAAACTACATGTATACTATGTATATACGTCTCTTCTGGCCATCGAAATGATCCTCAATTGCCAAAGGACAACACTATTGTTTCTAGCCAAACGTATTCACTAACATTTCATACATCTCAGTGATAGATGAGCGAAAGAATATAAGTCAAATTTCTATCCTTAAATAATATAATCATTTAAAAAATAGAAATATGAATAATATTGTAAATTTCAATTATTTATTCATAGTAAAACGAATAAGTATCGATAATTTATTCGATCTGATTTCTTTGAAATACTATGCATTTTCTTTGACAAATTTTTCTTCAGATTTTACGTGTTTTCTTTTTCACTCGATGCGAGTTTCAAAGAAATTCAAGATTTTTATGAAAAGAAGAAGGCATTGGCATGCGTCGACGATTATTTTCGCTTCGGTTCGTTTTCGGCCAAAGCTTTCGATAGCTCCAGTTATTTCACGAAAAAGAACGAAATCTCTAGCAGAATTTTTATCCAACGCTTTGATCGAGAGAACGTAATCTGCTTTTCGAGACATAATCGTGAAAGACGCGTTTTCTTATTCCTTTTTTTATTTATTTCTTTACAAGATGTGTTCCTTTTACCCACTTTTTGCCCATAAATCTTTAATGTTTGCAAAAGTTTGCTACGAACCAAATGCGACGTAATGAAACTTTTTATTTCTTTTTAAACAAATCTTTTAAAATATTCTTATAAATTCCATTTTAAAAAATACATAATGCATATATAATCAGCAAAGCCTATAATTATTTTCTTTTCAAATTTTCACAATACAAATTTATATTGATGGTACAAAAGGAAAGAAGGAAGAATTTGCAATCAATTATCCTTATTCCCCTTTTTTTTTCGCCCACGATTTTTTTGCTCTTTTATCAATGATATGAATTCAATAACGACATTTCTCACTCTCGTCATTTGATTTGTTGTTTCATTAACGGGACTAACGAAGGAAAGAATATTGTGCTATTTAATTAGTTCTAATAAATGCAATAATTCTTTACTTTAATCAATATTGTAAAATGGATTTCCCTTAACATTTTTCAATTGCATTGTTAAAGCAAGCGTACCTTTAGATTGCAAAGAAATCGATTAAACAATCGAGTTACTGCGGTATTGTTATACAAAACGGTCTTTTTAACATTTCTATTGTTGTTGAAATTATTTTAATTAAAATCAAGTACTTATCGAATTCAAATAAATAATTGTTTAACACAATTTGATTTGCTCATTATCCCTATTATATTGGATCGTCCGGAAAGTTTTTCAGTAGGTGACATAAAGATTTTTTGCTGAAAAACTTGAAAAGTTCTTGAAGGACGAAATTTTAAAGTTATCCATAAAGATGGAGAAAGGTTATGGAAAAGAATGGTACTTATATATAATTTAATAATTATATACCAAAAAAACAAATGTGTGCAAATCACACACAGTAGAAGTGAAACCTTCAAAGAAAACCAAGCTTCAAAATAATTGAATTGTAATACAGCGCCATCTATTGAAAAAACCTTACAAAACCTAGATAACCTCTAAATAAAAATCTTTGAATTAGTAATAAAAAATAATACAAAACAAAAAAATCGCGATAATTATGCTATGTGCTAAGTTGGAAAAAATCACGTGTGAAATAAAATTAATTTCATTAGGATAAGTTGAGTTGTTTCGGAATTATTAGTTGACAAATATATTGTGACACTGAATTTTTATATATTGAATTTTATTAATTAATTAATTATTTTTGTTTCATCGATTTCACGTTCTTCCGTTTCACGATTTTCAAATCACCCTGATTCTAAAGAAGTTTTCACTTCAAAAAAAAAAACTTAAATGCGTTGCGTTTCAATCTTCCGTCAAAATCGCACGAACTTTCCGGACAACTCAATATATATTCTATATATGTATACATATATATATATACTCACCGTCTCGAAAATCTGTTGAGTAATTTTCCAAGGCTGCGAAAATAACGGGGAGCGGTAACGTAAACGTAGATCACATGATCGTCGGTGTTAAATCGTCGATCACGATCTAGCGTTTTGTTGCGATTAAATAAATCGGCAGTAGCAGCGCCTAACGTGGCATTCAACAGCGTCCCCCACCTTATCTAACCGAGGATCGGCAAATCATATCAAATTTATTATTTTTATTCTTAAATTATATCATTTGTCTTAAAAAGAAAATTATTCAAATAATATTTTAAAAAGTTTGGTCATATCAAAATGAATCAGTTTAAAATGGATCTTGTCTAAAGGAAATTAAAATGTAATAATATAGATTTTATCAAATAAAATAATTATATTTTATATATATGTATAAAAATGGATTGAAAAAAAAAGTAAAATAAAATTATTCTTATTTAGAGCATATCAATCTCTATACTCACATAACCAAAACTTTCCTGAAGATAAGTCATGTTGAAAGGAACGTAAACTCTTTGATCGACGTCTACCCAATTGTACAGGTCCTTGTGCTTCGGATAAATCTGGAAGAAAATTGACAAAATGTCAAGTGAAGATCGATAAGATTTATATGTAATCCGCAATATATGGATGAATTTATGCATATACAGTGAGTCAATTTAAAACAATGAATTTTTTCTTCCAAATTTTTATACGCAAAATAAGTAAAACTATAGAATGTGAAATAATTATCAAATAAAGAATGTTAACACGAACCTTACTGAGTGACAAACAAAATTGCAACAATAAATCCGTCTCAGAGGAACGTTCTTTTGAACTCATCGTCTTTGGTAGCATTCCTTCGACGATCTTTTGAAGTCTGCGCGATCTTCGTTCCTCTCTCTTATTCTGTAAAGTCAAAATGATGACATTCTTAGAAGATCTCATGGGAATAAAGAAAGAAATAGGAGGGAGATGACTGCCGACGAAGAAAATCTTGAAAATATCTCGTTCGGAAATTCAGTAGAACTCATGCTTGATAGTTTACTTTCAGAGTATGTTAAAGATCGATAAATTTCTCCATAACACGACATATATATAAGTATATATATTCATAGATACAGTGAGAGAGTCAGAAGATACTTATTCAATAAATTGAATAAGAAATGCTTTAGCTACAATTTTTTATTTTAAATAATTAAAAATAAATAAGAGTAAATACATCCTATTGCACATCAAGTTGACGTAACATTGAAAAAGATTAGAATAAAATTACTGCTTTGAGGATTTATTTTTGTAATCGTTTATTCGATCAATTGATGGTTCAACGATTTGCATTAATTGTCGAAACAATCTACAATTGTTGCATTTAATTTCTAAAATACAAAGTTAATCGTATTGTGCAGTACATTTGTACTTTTATATATTAGGTGGTTCGGAAAGTCGAAAGTTTCGTTTTTCTTTTGTAAAAATGAAGATAATTTTTGCTTCGAGGTTAAACCTAAACCTTTCAAGTGGTCATAAATAGTTGAATTTGATAAATTTAACCTCTCATCGATCTCATGTGTTACTATTTGTCGGCTTGCATCAACTAATTCCATTTTTGTGTCAGCAAAAAACGAAACGACTTTCCGAACCACCTAATATATTGAAAGTATTAGATATGGTCTTAAAGGTTATAATTTGTATAATATATTGTAAACAAAATGAACACAGTAATATTGCTAACTATTAATTGCTTAAATAGATTATCAAAAAATATTTGTAATCAGATTAGACCAATCAACAGATCAAGTGTTTATAGAGAGATTGCATCATCCAAACTTGATAAAAATGTTAAAAAGGTATCTCCAAACACATGGAAATCTCTGGAGGTTAGGAAAGGTTAGGTCTTGGATGTATTCTTTTAGGATTTTTGTATAATTTCAAAAAGAAAAAGAAAGAGCAGACGTGCGTGAAAGAAGACGACAGTTAGGAAAAGCTTTCATCGGTGGAAAATTTGAATTGGTTGATAACGAAGGGAGTATTGTTAAATTGGATGATTTCTTAGGACAATGGGTTTTTATTTATTTTGATTTTACTCATTGTCCAGATGTTTGTCCCGATGAACTTGAAAAATTAACATTGACTGTCGATCAATTAGAGAATGAATTCAAGTTGAAGGTTCAACCAATTTTTATATCCGTTGATCCGAAAAGAGACACTCCAGTCATAGTAAGAAAATACATCAAAGAATTTTCACCTAAAATTTTTCATCTTTCATCAATTCTTCTTTCATTAACCCCAAATATATTTCTTTTTAATGTTTTCATCGTCTATCGAATCTTCTGTATCTACCACTTCGTTTCTTTCTTTAGGTAAATAAAGCAAATCGTTTGGATTGCTTTCTTTCTCTCTCTTTCTCTCTCTCTCTCTCTCTCTCTCTCTCTCTCTCTCTCTCTCCTCTCTTTCCCTGTCTATTCTGAAGTGCTATCGAGGTTCGAATGGTATGGTAACTAAAGCAATATCCGCTAGTTCGTGGTTTATTCGAGACGAGGAGTAGGACAAAAATAAAGGAGATAAAGATAGAAAGGGTTAGGAAGTGAATTTGTCGTCGACGAACGAATATTGAGAGAAGTAAGTGAGAAAAAGGAAAAATACAAAATGGAAAATAAAAAGAGGGGGAGGAGGGAGAAAAGAGAATTAAATGCGAAGAGAAAAAGTAGTCAAAGAAATCTTTTCTAAATGGTTCCTTTAAGACGATCAAAAAATCGTTTACAAAACTGCTATCGGTACTTTGAAAAAATGTCTTATTTAACGAAATTCATCGAAAAAAATCCATTACTATAAATAATAACGAAGCTACGAATATATATCAGATAAATAAAAAATATAAATCAGTTAAAATCTTTTGTATAGTTAGTATGGTAATTTTTCTTATTTGTGTATGCAAATGAATTGTATACTTTAGATCTATGATAAATTAAACTAAAGTTTTTTCTCGGACAAACGATGTAATGTTGTAAAGATATTTCACGTTGTTTTTTTTTTTTTTTTAATTGATTTCAATTTTGCTTTTTTTTTTATAAGAGAAAAATATAAAAAAAATTGGATTCGAACATTGAAGAATGGGGAAACGTGGAAGAAGTAAAGGCGATCGTAAAATACTTTTTACGATTAAGTTGCGCGTATTTCGGGCAGAAAGGTGTTATTTCAACGACGAATAAAATGCTTCCCTCGGCGGTACTGGTAGAACCACCGAGAGGAATAATACTAACCCTTCGAGGAAAAAGTAGAAAAAGTAGACATAAAGAGAAAGGATTTCAGAGTTATCCGCAGAATCAATTCGATGGATATTTCGTATATTTTGTTAGAAATCAAAAATACACTTATAGAGCAATCTGCGACTATTCATAGATGTTATTTTTAGAATCTTTTCACAAGCCCTGTTAGATAAATATTAAATCTAAAATACAATCTAATTTCGAGAGAAGAAATAAAAAGTATTTAAATAGATAAAAAGAAAAAAAAAGGAACGAAGAAGATACTATTTTAGAAATAAAGTCCTTTTATCGACTTTGCTTTTTTATATAAGAGTGTGTACCTTGAGTACATATAGTATATGAAAGAGGAAAATAAAGATGAAAAAAGATGGTAAAAGAAATAGGTAGAGAACATCGATTCGATTTCAGTTATAGTCCTTTAGGCGATACGAAACGTATTTCGAGGCTTAGCCAAGATGCTACCGAGCATGCAAATGAGTTAAGCGAAGGAATCAATTCGATTTGTCCTTAATGCTCTACTACATCTATCTATCTATCTATCTCTTTTTCTCTAATCTATCTACTTGTCGGCACTTCCTCTCGTACCACCTTTTGATGTCGGTTAATTAAACTCTTTGGATAAAATAAGTCCTTCCAATATCCCATTAAATTTATATACGGTGTACTAAAATGCTACTTCTAGACAACTTTGTGATATAATGTTTTTTTCGTCACCGAGTTTGTGGTTAATTAACGTCAGTAAGAAACGATCTTGACGAATCGCCAGCCTTGTGAAATTGTTTTCGTTGAAAATTAATTGCTTTGAAAAACGAGAGAGAAAAAGAGAGATCGTTATAGAATACAGTGATAAATAATTTTCTTAAATTATAGTATTCGTTATTTTGTACAATATAAAAATAACAAATGTTTTATATGTAGATAACGTCATACTTATTTTAATTTAAAAGAATTAAATTTTGCAAGCATTTTAAATGGAAGCTTCGTATCCAAGTAATAAATAATAATCAGTAAAAAATATTCAATACATTCAATAATTTATATTAAGACTAACATACACTCATATATCATTTATATATATATATATATATATATATATATATATATATATATATATATATATATATATATATATATATATATATATATATATATATATATATATATATATGTATATATTTTATTACATTTTAGAGTTCAGAAATAATTTAAAGCAGGTTAGCATATCTACCAATTGGAAGCTCGATAAATTGACAAAGCAAACACTGAACTTAAATTGTGCCACCGTCGGTATGTTCCCAAGCTGACCTAGAAAATATCAAGCAATTAACGAACTAATTAACTAACTAACCGTACTATAAATAGAAAAGCAGCGTGATACACATAACGATAGTTCAAACTAAAGGAGTAGAAACCTGCTGAGCTTTTCTCAAACCGTATTACGTGACGGTGTTTCTATCATATTGTTTGATTTTCTTTTAACATAAGTATTTTCAACAGTTTGCTATTCAATTTATTTCAAGAGCACTGCTTTTCCTAAAGTGAACAAGTAAAAATAGTTAAAGCATTTTTTTCTAGTAGTATACTCAATCTTTAAAAGTTTATAAATAACACATCTGATTAGTTATAAAAAATTTATTCAAAGCTACTATTCAAAATAAACGGCTCATTTATAAAAATGACTTTATTTCGTGTATATCTCGAAAATTGTTGTCTTTTCTATTATAAATATTGTCAAGAATAGAAAGTATGTGAAGGATAAGAAAATAAATGGATTTTGTATTATAAAGATGGTTGTGCATGCATAAACAATGTTACGTCTACTTTTAAACATAAAACGAATGAGGAGAAAAATGGAAAAAAGGGACAAAAAATATAGGATTTTCGTAAGGAAGAAGAAGAAGAAAAAGCACGTAAAGATAAAAGCATCGGCCTGTGCGATGCTGATCTTGTGATTTCATGGAATAAAATGAAAAAGAGAGAAAAAGAGAGTGACGACAACTTATTGCATGTTTTGTTTTCGAGACGAAAGAAATTTCGTTTGTTGATGAAAAATGTATTTTAAATAATTCTTTTTTATTTTTTGCTTATTCCTCTATTTTTGGGGTGGGAGCATGTTAAATTATTTGATTAAATCTATTTTACAAATAATTTGGTCATTTAACTTGTTTCCATAAATAATCGAAGGGTTGAAAAATTGAATAGATACTTAAAATCATGGAGACTAGACAAGGAGCACGAGCTCCATGTATACAAATGGGATATAAAAATAAGAGGGCGCCCGTGTTCTCTTTGTACCAAAATGAAAGGGGAGTAAGGCGGCAGTTAAAAACAAATTATAATATGAAACTAAGGGTAATCATTTAGGTTGTTCAAGTATAAATAATTGAAATTAAATAAATAATTATTTAATAATCGTAAAAAAATGAGTAAATAGTAATAATAATAATAATAATAAATTTAGATTAAATCCTAATCATTTAGAAAAAATAGTATTAAATATAAATTTTATTGGTAATAAAATTCAGTCAGATAAAAGTAATGGTTATTGCATTTTTTCAATAATTATTTACAATACAAAGTTAAAAATATAAGTAAAATACTAATACTATAATAGTCATGGAGATTACATAAGGAGCACGAACCTTTGGTACTTCAAAAAACATAGGTTTTTTTAAATTTAATTCCCGTCTTCGTATGAGATCAGTTGCACTCCCAGTATTGCAATTTTTAACTGCGCACACCCTGCCCATTTTTATATTTATAATTTTTTATTAATCTTATTATTAATATTTTATTTTCGTTATTAGTTTTTGTTTATATACAAGTATTAGGGTTAAGAACTATTTGCTCACTTCACGCATCGGTATGTTACTATATTCAAAACAGTACAAAAGGAATATTTGCGATACTAGTGGTGAGACAAGGAAACTTAAATATACGATTTACGTGGACAGATTTTGGCAATTAATACATTTGAGATCGTACTCCTTGTCTAGTCTCCATGCTTAAAATCATTGTAATGCCTATCGATGAAAAATTTTAGGTAGAGAAAGGACGGGGGTGCAGATTAGAAGAAGGGCAGAAAATCAAATGGGTAGAAGTATACCTATTAAATAATTTGATTAAATCTGTTTTACAAAAAAACTTTGTCATTTAACTCGTTTCCATAAATAATCGAAAAGTTGAAAAATTGAATAGATACTTAAAATCATTGTAATTCCTATCAATGAAAAATATTAGATAGAGAAAGGACGGGAGTGTAGGTTAGAAGAAGGGCATAAAATCAAATCTCAACGGATCTCATTTTGTAAAAGAGAAGACGAAAGAAGTCAAATGCGAGAGAAATAAAATTGAAGAGAAGGATGGATAAAAGGGGGCTGACTGGTAGGAAGGTAAAAGGAATAGGAAAAGAACAGTGGAAGTTGGAGAAATGGCTGCCGTTTTCGTAGTGGTCTTTACGATCGCTTAATGCAGATAGAGAGAGTTGGTTACGGAACTTGTAGACGCAAAGCCGAGTCTTCCAAGTTGCTTTTGACGTCAAACAAATGCAATAAACATTTTCGCGCCAAAAAAAAACCAATAATAGAAAGAAAAGATATAAATTTGGCATCGCTTAGTCGTATAATACATTTCTAATGACGTTTTTTTTTTTTAATATATATATATAATAATTTTTATAAATTTAAATAAATCATATCTCATACAGTATTTTTTTTTCTTTTTTTTTTTTACTTTTTTAAAGAGGAAGTAGAATTAAATTTTGGGAAATATGAACAAATATTTGAGTGACGTGTATTACATTTTAGTATACTTTTTAGTTCGAAACACGAACGTAAGCGTCGTCAATGAATGTTCTCGCGTTCCTTTTAAAAGCCGTATGCGTATTTCACTCAGGAAAAATATGTCAAGGGTCATATAAAACGCATATATATATATATATATATATGTAGACAAGTTTATTCGTTACTTTTCTCTTTCTTCGATTTCTTTCTCTCTTTCATTTTTATTTATAGGATATACACACAAATACTTTGTGAAATGACTAGCCAAAGCCTAGGATCAAGCCCCATAGATATAACCCCATAGTTTTGATAATGGACGATTCACTTAGGAAAAAGGAATTGAGACGATAAGATAAGTTCTTTTTTTTCTTTTCTTGTAGATTTAGTTGTTAAATCAATGTTCGAAAGATTAGAATGTGAATATCTTGGTTCCATTTTGATCGGACTAACAAGGAAAGGGGACAGAGAGACGTCATGTGGGTCAAGAGCTCACTCGCAAAGTATTCGTTCCGTTCGTAGGACAATTTCGAGTCGTATGCAAATTTCCAACGGGAAAATGAAAAAGTATAGGTAACTCAGAGAGAATAGTGCGTCGAAGCGGCTTACCGTAACCATCCCGAAGCGAAAACTCTAATTGCCTAGGACGTCGCCCGTTCTTCGTCCAAGTGTCGAAAATGTCGATTCGAAAACACCACCGACGTTCTTGACGCGCACGCAAACAGAAAAACAAGACCAAACAAAAACAGAACTGTAAATGTTTCGACTCGCAAAATCTTCCACAGAGAGAATTAAATTATTCGCCCGTTGTTTTTCATTTCATTTCATTTACATTTTTATACAAATTATTATTAGACCTTTTATTATATTATTTTAGAGAAAGAGAGAAAAAGAGACATCATTTATATTATGTAGTCAATTTTATTTTAATTTTTTAATTAACGATTAATTGATGTTCCTAACCCCGTAAAAAGGAATAATATTTATACAAATTATTAATATTAATTTTAATTATAAATTTTGTTAACCTTTATTCAAAATCTAAACAATTTAAGCTTAACTTTTGCTAAGTATTTATATACTCGTACGCAAATAATGAAATGAAAAAGTTTTAAAAAAATATAAATTACGTATAAAAATATACTTTTCATAAATTATTTCTCAACAACTTATACAAACATTCAATATAAATACTACTTGCATTTTATATCGTATATTTTTATTAAAGAATTATTCATACAAAATAAATTTTCTTACCTTTATCATCATGTACGCTTGACTTTCTTCATGAACCGATCTTTTTCTTCTCTCATACATCGACACGGTCTTACGCCATTTTGGTATATCTTCCTGTAAAAATTATAAAATAATAATAATGTAAAGTATTTCGAAATTAAATTTCTTGATTAAAATAAAAGATAATATAACGAATTATTAAAAAAGACACATAACAAAAATATTAGAATACAGAAAAGAGGTATTTATAATAGTTTGAATTCGATGCAAAAAATGGTATCCTTTTTCGTCACTTTTGTTAATCGCATAAATAAATATTGAACCAATTAAAAGGTAAGCTAAAAACACGCGTGGCAAATTTCGTATCGAGTTATATAAATATGAAGAGATTATAATATGTGTATAAGTGTATGTCTACGTGAGAGATAGGAAAGTTCATACAGCAAAGCTTTCACACCATAAATAAGCTCGCTTACGTGGGTACTTAAAATGGCGAGGATTTCGCATTGAACGAACTCGGCCACCGTAGCAAACATCCTCGTCGACATTTAATTAAATGATAAAAAATGTTTATCTGTAGAAGAAATATTAGAGAGAGTAAAAAATTAAATCCGAACGAGGCAACTAGATTTTCCTTCTTTTCTTTTTTTCCCTCTTTTTTCTAACATTTTCTCACCTTTTTCCGGACTCTAATTATTGTGTCCCTATCTTTCTTTCTCTCTCTAGAAACATATTATATTCTCTAGAAATGAAAAAAAAGAAAACAATTTCAATTTATTGCGATTGCTATGTGTATTTGCATATGCATATAAAGTACAAATCAACTATAACATTATATAATACATTTCATCCCTCAGTCTCTCTTTCTCTCCCTGCAATTATTTAATTTTGACGTTTGTAAAATTAATTTAGAGATTAAATCTATTTTATTATGAAAGTAATTAAATAAATTTCCAAAATATAATTAACTTTATACTAAAATGTATAATAGCTTGTGTGCATGATTTTGTCAACATTTTCAATGAAAACACATTGAATATTTTCTTCTTATCTCTTTCCAATTTTATTTCCAATTTTTTTCTCTAGTTTTCACGCTAAGATTTTGTTGAAATCCTACATATTAAAGACATAATTGGAAAAAATTTCTTGGAAAAGAAACAAGCAAACAAAATGGAAGACGGTACAGGGTCAACTAGTAAAGCATAAAATGGAAAATTAGAAAGATACTTCGGCGGTGTCGCCGACAGCTTTTGGATATTCGCCAGTCTACTGAAACTACTCTTTTTTAAAATAGAGAAAAAGAGAGAGAGAGAAAAAACTTGATTCTTGGCCCGATCTTCTGTCTCCTAAAATTTTATAACTATATGTACCGGGTGGTTGCTATAAATTTTTACAAATTGTCTTAATATTTTATTTTTTGCTAATTTTATCTAACTACAAATATAGAATCTTCTTTTATCTAATTTCCTTAATAAAATACAAAAATTTGATGAAAAAGAAAAAAAAACATGTAATATCAGCCCACATAAATGATATTTTTTAAATTTGATTTTTATTTTAATTTATTTTCTAAATTTTCCATTTGATGGATATTCGTTGAATCGAATGCAAAGGTATCGATATCATTTATGCATACGTGACGAGACAGTCACGCATCGTGGCATCGGATTTGAATCCGAGCTGATGTGAGCTTCTTGCCAACCAATGCGACGACGATATTGAATTCGTGGCTCGGACATTATTGAACATATGGTTCCTGCCGAGATTGAAATGCATACGCGCAGTGGTAGCAATGCTAGTGTACGAATGCTCTGATATCGATATCACTATGTGATGACCATTATTACATGGTATATATACCGAGAGTATTAAACCTTCGCAACTCATTTATATTAGTTCAACTTATATATATCATTAATTAAAGCAATATTAAATTTCCTTGAAAATGTTGGTAAAATGTTGTAATAAAGCTAATTTAATCCTTCTTTGATACGTCTTACGCCATCTCGTTTTCGTCACTGGCTAACTGCTGTTTTAAAGTGGCACTTTAACGAGCTTAGCTATTGAAGAGGTTCTCTCCCTCCTATGCTGGCTTCAAGCTCGTATCACAATTACAGGAACACCCTGAAGAGACAAAGGACTCGAGCGTGTCGAGTATGAGTTATGCTGTCTTCCCTTCGTCTCGCACACCCACACAAACGTCTTGCTTTATGTTCTCGGGAAGGTGTAAGTCCCTTTAACAGCCGCCTTACAAGTGTCTCTACGTGTCTCTACGTGTCTGTCACGTGCAAACAACAATGCAAAGAACGCGCAAAGCCTCGCACGTTTAGGCATTCCCGTCGTACATACGTACATATATATTACAGAGATAAAGATAGTAGATGGATTAGATCGCTTATTATAGTATATTATGATGGATTATTTCATTACTTCTAATGAATCCATTAACTTATGACGAGTAAAGACAAATCTATTTTTTATTTTCAATTATATAATAATAATTAATTGAAATTTTCTTATAAACAAGACACATTGTCCATTCATTTTTTTTACAACTTAACTTAATAACATTTATCGTCATTTATATTATCTTTTTTAATCATTTAATATCAGCGAACGAACGATTTAATAAAAAAAAGAATATACCGTAAGTTCGTAAGATATTTAATGCTGCAAAATGTTGAAGGTCAAGGTGAAAAAGTTATAGTAAAGAGGATCGTTTGGTAAAAACGATTTCGAAACCGTGCATACGAATGTTACGAACAAACGTCATCGTTATTCCCTTCTCGAAACGTAAACTGGGCAAACGACTCTACTCGAAAATTTTCTCGTGTAATTATCTGACCGTCGTATAACCACTATTAACCTTCTTCTCTTTTAAAGAGCTCGTTTATCTACTTAAAGATCCAACCCTGGCATCAGATGCTTTAATCGTTAACAAAACCACGGTGTGCCTCTTAACAACCAGCTGGCATGCGATCACAATTATTTACTTTGATGAATTATCATTTTAATTGGATGAAAAGTTACTTTTAAAATGCAGTAGGGGAACTTAATTAATCAGCGTAATCAGGGAACAAACGGCAACAACAATTTAACGTTAACGCGTGGCCAGGAATAATTGCCAGTGTTTTTAAATGGAATAATAAACTGTGAGACGATTTATATATAACATTTTCGAAAAAAACTTTTATACACGATGGTGCACCATAGTTATTGTTGAACATTCTCCTTGAATTAATATAAAAACACACGTAATAAATCCTTGTTTTGTAGGAACCTTTTTGTAATGAGATATCGATTTATTGCAACTACTTGTATTAAGTATTAATGATAGCTAATAAACTATGTAGAGCGACATAACTCACCAGATTTTCCAGAAAGATGGCATCCCCTTGATACTTGGTGGGGAGATCCAGAAAAACGGAGGATCTAGAATGATCGTAAAGATCGACGTCTACGTACAAATCAAAGAGGGGTGCACCGTTCACTCGAAGAAGAGCTGAGACCAATGGTGTTATATCAACTGGTACGACACTTTTCGGTGGTAAATAACCACCGAGTTCTTGAAGAAGGTCGTAAACTGAAAAAAAAGACAAAATTTTATAGTTTCACATTCTTTTCAATAATAATAATAATAATAATAATAATAATAATAATAATAATAATAATAATAATAATAATAATAATTATAATAATTAGAACAAATTAGATGAATATTTTCGAATATCGTTTAAAAAAGAAATAAAAAGAAATTATAAAAAATTCAACGATCTGTTCTGTTTTCTCTCCTAATAAATTGAAATAACCTTTATTTAGTAACCTAAATAAATTGAAATTTACAAAATTGTAGTGCAACGCCCTCTATTGTATACTTACAGAACCAAAAGACTTAAAAAACCTTTAAATAATATATCGCTAAATTCAACAAAAAAAACTTTAGATCACAAAATGAACTAATCTTTCTTCTAAGTTAGAGAAAATCAAATAAAATAAATCAATTTTTATTTAAATCAGTTAAGTAATTTCTAAGTTAATCGAAGACAAACAATGTTAACTAAAAAACATAATGCAATGTAATATAATTCAAAACTATTGTTAATGAAATTAGATAATTATATCCACTATAAATTTCTTCAAACTAGAATTAGACATAAAACTGCGTAAAATTCCTAATTTTTTTTTATTAAATTAACATTAGAGTGTCATTAAGTATCCAAGATCAAACAAAAAATCTTTCTTTTTTGATTTAATAATGTATAAAATGAGAAAAAGAAAATATTACTTACTTCTGCGCACTTAATTTTGTAGTAATTTTTTTATTAACAGTCAAAATCAAATTATGCTTTTTATAATCTAAAATTCGTTTTTTTCTTTTAAGCTCGTTTACGCTCGAATAAATTTTTTCTAATGTAGAAAAAGATGCACGTGACTTCAAACTCGCGAAAGAGTTGCATTTGCTTCTACCATTCCTTAAAATAAATGTTTCGTTTCTATTCCTCTAGTATATAAATCCATATTTGTTTTTAATAGGACTATTTTTTACTACAAGTAACATTCGATGTCATCTGTTTCTTCCGAAAAAGAGAGATCTCGTAAGAAACTGAGATCGCAAATTGCACTTGGAGAAACTCTTGGAGTTTTCGAAGGAGCAGCTTATACAGCACCGTAAGGGCATACGTAACCCTTATACGTGCTTCGCATAACTTCCCTTACACATACATATATATGTATGTATTTAGCTAACTTGAGAATCTTACTTACAAAAAGGGGTGAAAAGATCTTAAGTAATTTTTTAAATTAATTATTCTTTTTCAAGAAAAAATGCTTGACAAATTTTTGAAAAAAAGAAATAACTTCTTTACTTTTGTAGGAATATTTATGAACATTTATGTTTGCATGCATGAATATTGTGCCCAAAAACTACAATATATATATATATATATGTAGGGAAAATTTTTTAGGGTGAGAGATGCGTGGTGAACATACACCCAGTTTAATCCTACTAATAACATTTATTTAAAACAGGTATTAGAAAAAGTACAATATTAGTTTTACAATCTTACGGTTACAACTTAGATGAGCGACTGTATTCTTACGACTGATACAACTGCGACTGTTACAACTGATGTCTAACTACGGCTACGACTTCTACTGCTCTACTTCTACGACTGAGACTCCTTCCTTCTTATTTCTTTCCACGTCTTTTATATCAGAAATGACCTACACCCCTTTTGAGAGGGAAGAAGCTTACAAATCTTACTGACCAATAGCATAAGGATCCACCCCATAATCCACCGACAGATACGGCCTATAGTTTTCGGTAGTGGGAACTATGCATACAGAAACTTAATCTAGCACATCGGAATGTTACCCTTTTTTATGGTATCGCATATGTTTACACAGGTATCTGAAATTCTTCAAAGGGTCCCGACACTGCCCACATGGTTTTTTATTGCATCAATATATCCTGATAATCCTTAAGGTTCGTTTATAGTTTTATGGCCTACCTGATCTTTTCTTTTAATCTGAATAGAGTTTTCCTTTTCAATAAAATAAGATATACAGAAAGGACTGAATACTAGTTTTTTTTGTCTACACCTGCTAAACTTAAAACTCTTCTATATATATATATGTATATATATGTATGAAATGTATACTTTTTCGAATGTATATAATGATACTATTGGGTTGGAAATTTAGTACAGATATCCCTCCAACAACACGGTTTCGCAATTACACAATTTACAATTTGCGGTAAATCCTCCAACAACACGTTTTCTCCTAACACGATTTCGCTATAACACGATTCATAATTGCAGAAACCCTCTTACATCACGGCATTCTATAAAACTGTTTTCTTTCAAAAAACCTTTGTACAACACTGTACTTCTACAGCCGCGGCGAGGCTTTCCATCTTAAAGATACAGTGTTGCGGAAAGTATTTCTTTTCATCAAAAACATCAACGTTAAATGCGTTTTGGAAGAAGATATGGCCGTCTTCAGTTGAAATAGAAAACGTGCGTGAATCGTTACAAAATGAAATTAGTGACATATTAGAACTTGCTAAATCAATCGGAGGCGGAGGTTTTGTGGATTTGGCTATTGAAGACATTCAAGGTTTATTAGTGGAAGAAGAAGTTGACGAAGCAAATTTGATGGAAATGATATCCGAAACTGAAAATCAAATCGATCTTGAGGACACCAGCATTGATGAAGATTGTGCAATTAATAATTTAACATTACAAAAATTAAAAGAAATCCTAAGCTTAGCTGAAAATCTCGAGTCATTTGTCTTGAATGCAGACCCTTCCGCAGAAAGAAGCCTAAAATTCAAAAGAGAGCATCAAAACTGTCTAGCTCCATACCGAGAAATTTACAATGACCTGGTAAGAAACAACAAGCAAAATAAAATTACAGATTTTTTAAAGAGGAAAGAAGATGCAAGAAGTTTAAGTGAAGAAAAACGTTCTGAAAGTGAAGACGATATCATTCCATCGAAAAAACGTTTTCGGTTGATTAATCTGAGCAGTGACGATGAAGAAATTTATTAAATTAAAGTTGGTTTATATAAATTAAAAAATTATTTTTTGTTTTATATTGTTCATATAATACATTTATATTTTTAATAAAAATAAGGTTGTTTATTTAAAAAAATAAAATACTTTTTGTTTTGTATTGTTCCTATATTTATGTTTTTAATAAAAATTAAGTTGAGATCATTTAAAAGAAAAAAAGAATATTTGTTTTTAAAAAGTTTTCGGAACGCAGTCCCCCTTTTTGCATTGGCTTTGGGTCTCAAACAACACGGTTTCAAATAACACGGCATTTTCTAGGAACCTATCTACCGTGTTGTTGGAGAGAGACCTGTAATTGCCAATTTTAGTTATAGATGTCTCTCACTCCAATTTTTATTTTTTATATTTTTATATTTTTTTTTTTTTATTTTTATGTCATCCTCACAAGTTTTTGCGTACAAGGTTTTGCTTTACAAGTTCATTGCGTAGATATTTTCTTAAAGTCTTTTTTTTATCTCCATATTAAAAAAAAATCCTTTATTTCATTGAACAAATCGGCAATTACTTAGTTTCCAACCCAATATATGCAGAAAGTATAAATGTATTGAAGCGAGGGTTAGTTTTTACCATAAGTTCGATAGCTTCGTTCAAAGTTCTCCAACTATCGATAATCTCTTCTCTCTAATCGTTCGAGTCTATTTCGAAGTTTTAACGAAGCTCTAGCGCTGACTTTACATTATAACACCTTTGCTGTAATTAATATGCGGTAAGCCAACTTCGATACTTCTTCTGCGATACACTCTACGTAGATGGATGCTTTTTGTATCATGCTATTTCAAACAAAATAACTGTTTTTCAATACATAAAACGATATATATGAGTCATTCGACGTCAGATCAACCACTTTTGACCCCGACCCCTTTCGATTTTGCTGAAACTTTTTTATCATTTTAAGCTTCATTTAAAAATCTTTTTGAGAATTTTTTCAAATTTTTTTGCCGAACTCAAAAAAAGTTATGAATTTTCCAAAAATTCAACAAATTTTCGGTTCAAATAGCCATAACTTTCACATAACTCTCAAAAATAGACTTAATGGGAAGTTTTTTCTTTAAATTCTTTGCTTTTAAATGTACCTTTTGAAAAACAAAATATAAAAAAAAGTATTTGAAGTTAAATTCTATAAGAAATTCTGTTTTTTTAAACTAAAATTTTTCAAATTTTTATATTAGTAATTTTATTTTTTTCTATTTAAATTTTCGTTCATTCTGAACCTAAATTATACCTTCTCTGATGAGCCGAATTTTTTTTCTATTTTTTTTAAATTTAACAATTTTTCGTTTTATTTTTCTCGACATTTAATTTTATTTTTATTCTAAAATAAATTTATTTAAACAAATATAAATATTTTTGAGTGTATTTAATGACCCTAGTCATTAATACATACATACATACATCTCATTTAGGCGACCAAAGAAATTTAAATAAATTTTTAATTATATTTACTTGAAAAATTGACCAATAATGCACTGCAATCTTTTTGTATTTATAATTTTCGATAGTATATAATTAAACTGATTAACTATAATATAAATATATAAAAATATAATAATATATGTATATATATTTATTTTAATATAATAAATTTTATATAATTTATAATATCAGTTGTTAGTGACACGCAAAGAGAGAAATTCAAATGTAAGAGAGTAAATTGGTAAACGTTACCGTCGAGTAAGTACACATACACATACACACAAATGAATTTCTCAAAATATAGTACAACAATCTCTGTATTTGCCAAGAGTACGATTCAAGATACCTCGTAAAGACACATTCAGTGGAAACTTAGTTAATCATAACTTGGACGACAGACGGTGAAACGAGAAAATAATAACGAGCATTACGAGTGAGAGACTACGTACCCGCGCATGAGAGGGAGAGAGAGAAAGAGGATTGTTATGGTGGAATATATAGCAAGGAAATAACGGTTTGTTAGACAAATCAAGAATTCGAACTGTTCCGTGATACTACTACAGTAATAAATGTCAACGTTAAACCGATATAA